CGGGGTGTGGTAGCGCGCGCCTGTAATTCCGGCTACTCGGAAGGCTGAGGCGGAAGGATCGCCGGAGCCCAGCGGGTCGAGGCTGCGGTGGCCGGGAGCGGCCACTGCACTCCAGTCTGGGTGACAGCGTGAGACTCCAACTCAAAAATAATAATAATAATAATAATAATAATAAAATAAAATAACAAGAACCTGGCACCCCCTTCTCCCACTGGTTTCTCTCTCTAGCTCCAGCTTGTGTGTGCCATGTGACAGGCCGGCTCCCCTTGCTTTCTTCCAGAGACCTCTCTAAAAGCCTAGCAGATGCCGGCACCCTGCAGAACCGTGAACCAGCATAAACCTCGTTTCCTTAGAATTCTCCAGGCTCAGGTATTCCTTTACAGTAACACAAAACGGATTAAGATGAGAACTCACCGGGGGGATCACCATGATCACGCCACAGGCCAGCGCACTGAAGAACAGCGCGGAGGCCAGGATCGTCCTCCTCCCCACCTTGCCCATCACGAGGCACATCAAGGTGTAGGCAGGGATTTCCACGGCACCTGTCAGGGAGCAAACCAGCCCCCTGTCAGGCTTGGGCCCATGCCTTGAAACCCAACCCCTGAAAGGCATTGATCAGCCCTCTCTGTGCTTCCAGGGTCCTTTAGAATCATCTTAGCACAGTCTGCGAGGCAGCAAGCCCTGTCCCTGTTAAACTTAAAGAGCCAGGATGAGTGTATCCTATGACATCCTAGACCAGTGGTCCCCAACCTTTTTGGCATCAGGGACCAGCTTCACGAAAGACAATTTTTCCATAGACAAGGAGTGGAGGAAGGAAGCAGGAGCATCAGGCATTAGATTCTCACAAGGAGTGCACAACCTAGATCCCTCACAAGCGCAGTTCACAATAGGGTCCGCGCTCCTATGAGAAGCTAATGCCCCCGCGATCTGACAGAAAACGGAGCTCTGCTCCCTGGCTGCTCACCTCCTGCTGTGGGACCTGGTTGGTAGCAGCCCCGGGAGGTTGAGGATGCCTGCAGCCTAAAGCTCAAGATCCGCCTAGCATCAGCCAATGGCACAAAGCCAGAGCCCAAATTTCCACCAGCCCCACATCATCTCAGGAGGCGGAAACTTGCTCAAAATTTTCACAGCAGAGAACTATTGACTAGGCGTGCCTGCCAGCAAGAGTACTCATGGGAAGGGAAATGACGTGAAAAATCCAAAATGGTGGGTAATATAAAATCATGTGTGTTAGTCTTTGGGAACATTTTTGTCTTTGTGAGATTGCCCAGTTGGCTGAGAATGTATATCTTCTTCAAAATGAAGAAACTGTATCTGAAGATCTAAACCTCTGGCACCCTAAGTCTCCCCAGGCACACCCCACCCCACTCAATCATCCTGCCACTGGTCATTCTGGGAGATGGCATCATTTCTAAACTTGACATAGAGAACAGTTTTGAAGTCAAGATGAGTTCTTTCCATAAACTTGTCAGTTTGCCTTTTTAAAAAGAGTAAAATTGGCCATAGCTTTGCTAAACTCTGGTGTGTCCACGTGGCTCTTTGAGCTATGGCCGCCATGTTTCCGAGCTTTGGCCTCCTCTCCTACCTTGGGGAGGTGAATCTCTCTCTCTCTAATTTACTTTCTAAATAAACTATATTTTCCAATTTTAAAAAAAGTAATTTTTTTTCTTAAGATGACCTTTCTCGGCCAGGCTTGGTGGCTCAGCCTGTAATCTCAGCACTTTGGGAGGCCAAGGCGAGTGGATTGCCTGAGCCCGCAGGTTCGAGACCCGCCTGGGCAACTTGGCGAGACCTCATCTCTACAAAAAAGTTAAAAACAAAAAAATTAGCCGGGCATGGTAGCGTGCGCCTGTAGTTCCGGCTACTTGGAAGGCTGAGGCAGAAGGATGGCCGGAGCCCAGCGGTCGACGCTGGGGTGGCCGTGAGTGTGCCACTGCCCTCCAGCCTGGGAGACAGAGTGAGACTCCAACTCAAAAAAAAAAAGATGACTTTTTTCATAATTCCTACTGAGCTAGAATAGACAAAAATAGACATGTCACCAAAGCACTTTCATGAGAAGACATGAGATCTATGAATAAAAACTGTAAAGCAAGATTTTCTGAGGATATTATAAAATGTAGGCTCCCACAGAGAAATAACCAGGAGTTAAGACTCACCAGATTAAAAACACATTTCTAATATTTCTCTAACATTTGGTTCAAATTTGCTTTACACTAGGAGTCAACTCTCAAGTCATACAAAGCCATTTTGATCTGCTATTAAAATGAAAGACGCAGCCGGGCTCGGTGGCTCAGCCTGTAATCCCAGGACTTGGGGAGGCCGAGGGAGTGGATTGCCTGAGTCCGTGGGTTCAAGACCAGCCTGGGCAACTTGGTGAGACCTCGTCTCTACAATAAATCAAAAATTAGCCTGGCATGGTAGCGCGCGCCTGTAGTTCTGGCTACTTCTGAGGCGGAAGGATCACTGGAGCCCAGCAGGTTGAGGCTGCAGTGGCCGGGAATGTGCCACTGCACTTCAGCCTGGGCAACAGAGTGAGACTTCAACTCAAAAAAAAAAAAAAATGAAAAATGCATGGCAACGTAAATCATAGTTGCGTGTATTTTAAAATTATTTTGCCAACTGAAACTTCTAAATGAAGGCCATCTTGAAGGGAGAGAGATGCCAGATCTCCAAGACATTAAATTTTAAAAGGCAAGCAACTTACATAGAATGCTATGTAGTGAATGATCTCGTTTATGTGGTGACAGAAAATGTTTATATACACAAATATATGGAAATGCAAAGAAAGAGATAAGGAAGGGTGCAAGCCATTGTAAAGTCACCCCTGGGAAGAGTTTTAGGGTGGGAATGGGTGTGAAGGAAGTAAGGCGAGAAGGCAGAATGGAAGGGTGAGACTAAATTCTTCTGATTGCATTTTTTTCAAAAAGAAAATACAAGGCATCCTCAAAAAATTCATGGAAAGTATATATTATGAAAAATTATGCATGAATTTCAAGATATTTTGCGCAAATATAGACTCACTAACTTGTTAGAACATATCTGAAGGGGATCTGGTTTGAGGCACTCAGAAGGATAAGTCATCATTTAGAAAAGAGTCTCTATCAGAGCAACATAAATTCTGCTAAAATTGATGCAAGAACAAATATCAAGTGTATGGTGAAGCTTGGGTGAAATAATTGATGCTTTATGAAAAAGTTTAGGGGGACAGTGCCTCAAAGACATCAGCAGTTTGCAAATGTATAACTCTTTAAGAAGTGAAAAGACCTAGGCTAGGCAACATGGCAAGACTTTGTCTCTACAAAAAAAAAAAAAAAAAGCTGGGAGTGGTGGTGCCCACGTGTAGTCCCAGCTACTCAGGAGGCTGAGGCAGAAGAAGGATCACCTGAGCCCAGGAGGTCAAGGCTGTGGTGAGTCATGATCATGCCACTGTACTCCAACTGTGGAGACAGAGTGAGACTGACTCAACAAACAAACAATGCACGCACACACCAAAAACACGGTAGGAATCTCACTTCATTGTCACATTTAAATATACTTTACTTACCCATGAGGAAGAGGTTTAAGTATGCACTGCCACCTAAATTAACAGAATTCAAGGAGAAGGAATAGAACCCCAAACTCCCCGTGAACCAAATTAGCCAAACGGTGAGTGTCCTTTTCGTAACAGTCCAGTCATGAAACAGATATAACAGGTTGAACTTCTTCCCTTCCAGGGAGTTGTTACCGACAGGATCTTGTGGGTCCAGGGATAAAAGTTCTGACAGCTTACAAGAGCCTACCCCGTTCCATTTGGCTATCACATCAACTATGTACTGTGCTTCTCTGCATCTTCCCTCTGAGAGGAGCCAAAAAGGTGTCTCTGGGAGCATCCAGCAGCACAGAAGAAAGGGGACAGTCACTGTGGAGAGGATCATCTGATAAAGCCACCAGGTCCTGACTAAGTAGCCTGTCAAAGCCACCACCAGAGTTCCAACTGCAAAAAAGGAATGCAGGTGCATGGATGCCCATGTCCGAAACTTCACGCCAATGAATTCCATCACGTAAACGAAGCCTACCACGAGATAGCCACTTGCAGCCTGCAAAACAAAATGGGAGTTCATATTTGAGGTCACACTTATGGCTAGGGTGGAAGGGGTCTGACCTTTCTGAAAACCACATATAGACAAGAAGGAAAATGACTGAGGAATGCTTTCTGAAACCCATATCACTGATAAAATGGCATTCAATCCTACTCATTTCTTTCTTCTCCCCCCCCCACCCCGCCCCCACCCCGAGTTGGAGTCTCTGTTGCTCAGGCTGGTGTATAGCGGCACACTCACAGCCACCCCAGTATCTACCTGCTGGGCTCCGGTAATCCTTCCACCTCAGCCTTTCAAGTAGCCGGAATTACAGGCACGTGCTACCACGCCTGGCTGGTTTTTTTTATTTATTATAGAGATGAGGTCTCGCCAAGTTGCCTGGGCTGGTCTCGAACCCGCAGGCTCAGGCAATCCACTTGCCTTGGTCTCCCAAAGTGCTGGGATTACAGGC